CCGCCCACATTGAGCCTGGTTCTGCCAGAGGTTTCTCCCTGTTAATGAGGGAGTTTTTCCTCTCCACAGTCGCTAAAGTGCTTGCTCATTGTGGGAACTGTTGGGTTTCTCTATATTTAATAAAATTTTAAGGTCCTGACCTTCTTAAGATAATGTATATGATTTGTCACTATACAAATAAAATTGAATTGAATTGAAATGAATTAATGTCGTACTATAATTGGACACATTTATGTCGTACTATGGTTTGAGACAGTTATGTCGTACTATAGTTGGAGACATTTATGTCGTACTATAGTTTGTCATTCATGTCCTACTATAGTTAATTTGTACGCCACAAATTACTTAGGCTCTTATTGCCTCACTGGACCCAATGCAGTTTGCATACAGGCCAAATAGGTCAACTGCAGATGCCATCTCCCTCGCCCTACACACTGCCCTCTCCCACCTGGACCAGAGGGACACATATGTGAGAATGCTGTTCATTGACTACAGTTCGGCATTCAATACCATCGTGCCCCTAAAGCTCGTCACCAAGCTCAGAGACCTTGGGCTCGACACTGCCCTCTGTGATTGGATACTGAACTTCCTGACGAGCAGACCCCAGGCTGTGTGGATAGGCAGCTCCACATCCTCCACCCTGACTCTCAACACTGGGGCCCCCAGGGCTGTGTACTCAGTCCTGTCCTGTACTCCCTGTTTAAGAATGACTGCATGGCCACCCACAGCTCCAACACCATCATCACATTTGCTGATGACACAACCATCATAGGCCTGATCACCGGTGACGATGCGATGGCCTACAGAGAGGAGGTCAGAGCCCTGACATCTTGGTGCCAGGACAACAACCTCCATCTCAATGTCAGCAAAATGAAGAAACTGCTCGTGGAGTACAGGAAGAGACAAGGAGTAGAACACGCCCCCCTCTCCATCAACAGGACTACAGTGGAGAAAATCAGCAGGTTCAGGTTCCTCAGGGTTCAAATTAGTGATGACCTGACCTGGACTCACCACACAGACTCCATCAGAAAGGCGGCCAGGCAACGGCTCTTCTTCCTCCAGAGGTTATGGAGGCTCAACATGGATTCCAGGATTCTCTGCAACTTTTACAAGTGCACCATAGAGAGTATCCTGACTGGCTGCATCACCACCTGGTATGGCACCTGAACCGCAAGGCTTTCCAGAGAGTGGGGAAGTCGGCTCAACACATCATCAGGATGGTGCTGCCGTCCACGGAGGACCTTTACACCCAGCGTTGTAGGAAGAAGGCCAGCAGGTTGATTAAAGACCCCTATCACCCCAGCCATAAACTGTTCTGCCTGCTGCCATCTGGCCGACGGTACCGCAGCATCCGGGTCAGCACCACCAGGCTCAGAGACAGTTTCATCCCCCAGGCCATCAGACTTTTAAACTGCTCCAATCTGCCATAATTCCTCAAAACTCTCCTTACAATGTTTGCACTACTTTTTAGGTGCATATTTTATTATAATTTATGTTAATACTTAAGTTTGATTTAATGGAAGTTATTTTGATACTTTTTTTGCTTGTGCAACATTTTGAGCATGTCTAGAAGGGAGCCTGTGACCCATGCATTTCATTGCCGGCGACTGTTAAATGTTTTACACAGCTATACTATTCAATATTTTGACAGTCTATTGTCTGATGTTTTTACAATGTACCATCATTCATCATTTATGCCATACCATAAATGTTGTGCCTTACTTTTGTTTAACATTTTGATGTTTCTCTACTATACTTTATCTTACTATTTTTTGAAATTTGTATGTCTTCCTTTAGTATGAAATGTTTACACCTTACCACAGATTGTCATTTTCATGCTTTATTATAGTTTGATATAATGCAGCTGCACTGGTTGCAGAAATTATGTTTTAGGGTTATCAGTGTCACGGCTTCAGCTCCAGTGTCTTCCCCTTGTCTGCGGTTAGTTTCCTCCTCCTGTTCCTGTCGTGTGTTTGTGTGTGGGTGTAGGTGTCGACCCATCTCTGGAAACTGGAGCAGCAGCTCAGCTTTTCGCAATCACCAATGAACTCCATTCTACCACAGCATAAAGACTCAATCTCTCCACTCCTTCATCACCAGATTTTTCGGCTATACCTCTTGGTAGGTTTGAGGTTTGGCCAAATTCTACTTTGATTAATTTCAGTCACATTTGTTCTCAACTTATCTGTTTTCTCTCTGTGTTCAGGATCTGGTTTGCCAGCCTGCTTGCTGTTCCATTCTCCATGTGTCTGCTCACCTGCATGTCAGCCAGCCTGCAAACCTGTCTGCAGCATATCCTGCCTTTCTCTTGATTCCATTCATCTGCCTGTACCTGTATCTCTGCCGCAAATACCATAAAGCTTTTTTCTCATTTATCCCCCCTTGTCTGCATTTTGGGTCCAGTTAGAAAAACACAACCTGACTGTGCGCTCATCTGTCCCATTCCTGTCAATGCAATGTCTTAACAGCGCCTTGAGGGTTTTTCTTCAAATTTGATATTCTTTAGGATAAGCTGATAGAGTTTGGTGGTCAAAGGTCAAAGTTATTGTGACACGTTTGTGCATGTGAGTGCGAAAACCTGTACCGCTGGTTAACTATCTGGAAAAAAGGATTTAGAGGAACAGAGTCAGTCTAACCAACAAATGTATGTGGCTGGAGATAACTCATACTGCTCTCAGTCTGCAGCCACTGTTTATTCATTCACAGGTAGAATGTTAATGTTTATGTTGAAGCAGTTTCTTTGGATGCATCAGGCAGAGGTCCGAAAAAGGTCCAACATGGGTGTCATCAACCATTAGAGACTTAGATAGTTAATAAAGAATAGGAGGTTTCTTAGCCTAATGTATTTTCCTTTTGACAACAGTAAATGATACCTTATACCTTAGACTGTCTGTCTGTCTGTCTGTCCAGGCATGCAGATTTGATGGTACCTGGGTAATATTGCTTGTTTTGATATCATTTAATAAAACAAAGGTACTTTAATGCCACAACAATTTTACATTTGATATTCAGTAAATAAACTCTGGAATAGTATAAAAATATTAATATAAAAAGAAAAAGGTGATGTATTTTGGCCTAAACGTGTTTATCCATCCCAGGATCAGGGTGTTTCCCATGCAGATATGATTAGTGCCTTATATCTGCAGGACAGGTTCTTATTTGTCTCCCTTGTGAATATCCAGTACCAAGCACTGCTATGGAGAAAGCTGGTTCTATAGTGTGTCTGCTGACCAAGTCTTTTAGAAGTTGTTTAAAATATAATTTGTCCATAATGATGACCATGAAGCTTTAAAGAAAAGTAAAGGAAAACTAAAGAAAACTAAAAATTATTTGAAAGGAGCAGATTTCTGAAATTTGGGGTAATAAGAATGATGTGATGGATATAACTAGAAGTAACACATTACTTAGTAATTGTGAGAGTCAGCAATGTGTAACCCAACTAAATAAATTGTTAAATATCATACAGCAAGAAAATGTACGTGTGTACATATTATAGCCAGAATTTGAAATTCCGAAATTCCACAAACAACACACCAAATGAATGATGTATGTATTAATTCAGTGTAAATAATAAAAACATTTCAAATTAAGATCTTGTTCATTCTTTTTTATCAGAGATAGATTGAAACCTTGTCATTAGTCTCAAAAAACTGTATGTAAATGTCCCTACAGATGTCTCTTCTCCATCCATCTAAAGAAAATGCCCCTGTGAAACTCACGCAGTGTGCATTGGATTGTGTCCTGAAAACGTAGTTCTGATGTTTTCCTGATGGGGGCGATGTGCTTTGCTTTTCTTCATCTTGCATGTGAAGCAGGCCAATTCCTCGAAGGGTATTCAAACAGTGGTGCACCTGAGAATGGTTTATAGAAATCACAGAAATATATATTTAAGAAAAACTTAGTTAAAACAATGTGAACAATAAACCAACATCTGATAAATTTGATCAAGTTCACAAACACTTCGACTTTCTGCTGTAATGATTTGTTTATGTTAAATAAAACTAGCATACAAGAGGACAGTGAATAGTTCAGCCTGACATCTACTGTACCTGAATTAATTAAAGTTAATAACTGAAGTAAACATCACCAGAGTGAGATGATTGTATGGCAGAGTGCTGTAAGCTATTTTAAAATGAGTTTCTCTTATACTTTTTAAAAAAGGGCCTGTCCACATAAAACACAAATGCAGAACACCAGATAATATACAAAGGACATTACACATAATGAATTATATACAGAGGAAATAATAATAAAATCAAAAGTGATCACTGCCAAAACTGTTATACTGTATATGGCAATCCCACTGCTAGATTAAAATATATTCTATATTTTTTTCAGTACTTACCCTACAAAGGTGCTAGAGATGGTGTTGTGCGTGCTTCTTTTTGAAATCTAAACCATTTTTTGTGGAGGTGTGGATGTTTGATTGATGCTGAATTTATATCAAAACTATTCTCATAATTTCTTTGAAAAGCATTTTGTAGCGTTGTTTTAAAAGGTCCCATATAAAGACATATTTTCATTACAATTATTCACATCTCAGCCAAATTGGACATACATATCTGAAAGAAAACCACTATATATATCTGTTTTAATGTAATAACTGAATAAAATCTGAAATTGGTTGTCAGATGCAGTATTCAAATACTTATAAAGCCTTCAGCTATAAAACACACAGTAAATCAACATTTCTAATAAGGCCACAAACTGCACACAGTCTGTGACTTTCTTGCAGAATCAGTCATTTTTAATCCACAATTGTCCTGAATGCATTTCTTGCTGTGTGGTTGCATCATATTCAGCCCAGAGGAGTGGAGGAGCTGTGATTACTCACTGGGAGAGCTCCGATGTGAGCGTTGGGATGCCCTGAGTGCTTCCACGCTCAGCCGGGGCACCGCCGATCTCGTCGGCCCCGGACGGACCCCAGCATTCCACATGGCCAGGCTCAGCAGGCTCCTGGCAGTCTCCTTGGTGATGGGGTGGTTGATCCCGCAAGGTGCTTGTTGAGTAGGAGGAGGATGAGGAGGAGGATATGGAGGAGGATGAGAAGGAGCAAGAGAAGGAGGATGTGGAGGAGGATGAGAAGGAGAATGAGAAGGAGGATGAGAAGGAGGATGTTGGGGTCTGCAGCCAGAACTGAGGAACATCTAAGGAGGAGGATGACAGCTCTCAGAGAACAGGGGTTACCTTGACAACCATGCATTCAGTTTAAAAAAATTCAAATGTTCTAAATTAAATATCTAAATGTGTTGGTATATTTGTTCATATAATAGTTGCTGTGGGCTTTAACAAAAATGTAAGATGATTTCACCAAAGCCTGAATATTAAATTCTGTGGTGTCCTCTATCTCACCCTTTACCCCCCCCCCACCCCCCCTCATTAACATGCATATCTGTATAAACTCTGCTCCATAATACATGATGCCTGCTGGTTCCACCGTCTCCAGAGAATCGCCAACATTTAATCGCCTCCTTTTGAATCAGACAAGGAGGTCACAGTCACAGTGGGGCTATGGTGGCGATGATGAATGGAACGTGGTTTACCAGAGATTTGGCTTTGCGGAGCTTGTAAGTGGCCTCAGACAGTGATTTCCTATTCCCGTCAGCTGACTCTGATGTGTTACCTCGGCAGGTGGTAGCTGTGATGTTCATTTGCCTGCAGAGAGAAGACAACAGGATTGTGCACTATGTCTTTTGAAAAGAATATGGCCTATCAGTGATTTATTTCCATCAATAAAATCTTCATTTTTACAAAGTTATAATTTCTGTGACCTGAGGACGGTGAAAACATCAGCACAGTGATACGTAAAGATTTTGGGACGATAGAACAAAAGTGCCAAAACTTTCCATCCCACGACCTCCAAAATGATCATGTCAGAGACTTGATCATCCCAAAGGATATGGGAGATATTTGAGTTCACAAAAAAATACCCCTACATGCACATTTTGCAGTGTTCCTTGACCAACTGATGCTTTCATAACCACCTTGAAGACTGGATACATCAGAAAGGCTGATGATTATTTGGTGTTACTTTAAATTTGACTAGTGTGTTTTATTTTCTTGTCTTGCGTCCCCCCCGACCGCTAGTATGGGAACCACTGCTTTAGAAGACTTGTACATTTATGAGCAGCACTTTAAATGTCTCTCTGAAAATCATTTTTCTATTCAGGTGAATGTGAAAGTGCACCCCACTATATGTAACTGTTTTATTTGGGGTTACATTATAGAAATGCATACAATCAAAATTCTGCTCAACATCTTTCCTTATTTGACCGAAAGTGAATGTCAGCTCTGGATTGTATTTCATGCTCTGAATCTGAATACCTGAGAACAAGTGGAAAAAGGTTTCTTCCATCCAGTGTTTTATATATATATATATTTGTTGCTGTTAGACGTTACATCTGTGTGCAAGAATGATGGACATAACTGACACTACAGAGGTTTTCACATTCATTACAAATTCTTTCCTTCAGGATCAATGTATATTTCTATTTCATATTACTGATCCTGATCTCTAAATTCTATAACATGAATGTGGCTGTAATGTGCTTCATCAAGTCATTACGAGTGTGTAGGTGGTAAGTTTATCTGCTGCAGACAGTCTTACCCTCTCAGGGCTTGTTTCACAGGCTCCAGGTTGTCCAGGTAGTTAAAGCGCAGTGTGTCTTTGGGACGTCTGTCAGAATCTCTCCATGGGGGAAGTGTAGTCGGCTGCTTATCTTTAATCAACCCAAACCTGAGGCTGCTTCCAGCTCGCTGGATAGTGGAGACTGGACGCTCCTCTGTGAGGAGGGCCGCTTCTGCCAGATCTTCATGTCTGCTGTTATTCGCTGTTGCATCTGGAATCACAAACTGCTGTGGGGATGGGGCAGTCTGGAGGGGGCACAAGACTTTGTATAAACATTTGATCACTGTATTTTTACATGGTTACTCTGTAACATCCCTTTGCTCTGCATTATTATCATTTTGAGCCACAGTATTGTTGACATGTGCGATCTCCTGACCTGCAGCCGGGTGAGTCGCAGCTCCTGCACGGTCTGGATGTAGTGTCTCTTCCACGCGCCCTGCTCGAGAGGCGTGAGGGAGAAATTGATCCACCAGCCGAGCCTCAGACACTTAGGCGTCCACAGCTGGTCCAGCTCCACGATGCTCTTCCAGTGCCAGCTCACCTGCCCACAGATGGAAAACAGGGCCAGAATGTGAACAAATTGATCAACCATGTCAACAACCCTACAGGTCAGTATCATGTTCAGTCTGTGTACCTGTGCACATCGACAGAGGCTGCGGGGGTCCAGGAAGGAGAAGATGTAGAGGCAGAGAGCTCTGGGCAGCTGGCAGGTGAAGTCTGCAGCCTGCAGGGGGAGCTGTCTGCTCACACTGAGACTCAGGAACTTTAGCTGCTCCTGAGAACAGCTCAGTACAAAGTCCTGCAGCACTGCTCTCCTCTGACTGTCAGACCACCTGTCAAACTGACCGAGAAGAGAAAGAACATGATCCAACTCTTCCACGTGTGCTGCCTCAGTTTGAGTTGGACTCACAACAGACTCCAAACTGTGATTATGAGACACAACATCAGTGCGGTTCTTAAATATCTGCTCGTGTGATGTAAACGTACCCACTTTTTCAGCAGAGTCCGTCTCTCTTCAAACACCTGATGGAGAAGAGGATACAGGATACAACTGTTTAAAATGGCAACAAACTTGACTGTTAGTAATAATACATGATAATTACATGCAATAAGGTGGATTTATCTAAAATAAATGGTTTCCAGACCTTTGGACTGAACTATATGTGTAAAATTCATTTTTTCAGTTTAATTCAATTCAATTGGATTTGTATAGAGCCATACCACAACATATGTCAAAGCACTTTACATAGTAAGATAGAGTGTAAAAAAAATGGATGAGAGAAGAGAAGAAAAGGGGGAGACCAGAGAGCTTATCTTGACTGAATAGTTGACTTGACTAAAAACTGAATTACAAAGCTTTTTAGTTTAATCTTAAAAAATCAGTTGTATATACTGAAAAGTCATTGTTATTGCAAATAACATGCTAACACACTAGGAAATGTTCCAGGGGTGATGAGTTGACCCAACCTTGCTGTTAGTCAGAGGGTGGTTCAGAGGAGTCCAGGCGCTCAGTTTCGTCTGCATCCCGGCACAGTTTGTCGGTGACCTTGATGCATGTGGCATCTCTGGGTGATAGCCAGGGATTAGTGGTGGGCTAAATTACACAGAAAACCAACTTCAGTCTTATGTTAGATGCTTTTTTTTCACATTTTAGAGTGTGTGCAGCATATGTCTAATATTTTCCACCATTGTTTATCATACAGCTACATGCCACTTTACAGCATCTGCCTCAATACTTAAAGGCTTATGTTTATCCTGCTGCAAATATGAAGTTACGTAACACACTAGCTTTTATCACTCTTTAAATGGTCTTATAAATAATGCCAGATGTTTATTTTGGATCTCTGTCAGATGCTTTTGTTTAAATGCCCTCTGCTGTTACCTAATAAACAAAGCAGCTCAATCTTTATTTCTGCATCTTGTTAAAATAAGAATTAGGGAAAAAACTACTTGACACGCTCTCACAGACAGACACATTCACACACATTTAAAATGGCAGTGTTATAAATGTGAATAAGACAGTAAAACCCACTCCTGAGGTGTTTGACTCACCATCTATTCTCCTCAGCCGACTGAAAGAAATTAATCCAACTCCTAAACACACTTTGTGTTCATGTTATTCTCCTGACGGCCTCCTTTGTGTCCCTGCACCCGACTCCCCTCTTCTCTTCGGCTTCCCTCTTCTCTGTGCACAGTTTACTTGTATCCATAGTAACAGTAAGTGTACTCTGTCCCGGCCTGTCAAACACAGGGGGTGGGGAGTTAGATTGCTGCAAAGCAAACCATGGTGGAGTGTGGAGTGTGCAGGCTTCAGCAGCTCTAATGATGACAAATGTATATCTCAGGAGGCCTGACACTGCATATAGAGACCAGCTGCCTCAGATACTCTGATGCTGCAAAAAATTCTCTGTGGACGAGCCCTAGAATGGATTGATGGACATTGGAAAAACATAATGTTCTTATGCACTGCTTATTGATATCACAAATCATCCTGAAGGTCGGTTGTAAGAAATATCATATGCACAAATACAGTGGGTCAGTCTTGCAAATATATACATATATCTATTTTAAAACATGTTATATTTGTGTGTGTAATTATTAATATTATTATTGATATGGCTATTATTAGTAGTAGCAGAGGCAGTAGTAGTAGTAGTAGTGGTAGTAGTCATAGTTGTAGTAGAGGTGCCGTAGTTTGTCCAATATAAATGAATGAATGGATCTAACTAAATAAATTCATTTAGTTTTGTCTCGTAATATTTCAGTTGAGGACTGAAATGTCAGAGTGCACTCCTGCTCGTGCTCGGATGGTCGATCGCGCGCATTAAAGACAGAAAACCTGCTGGG